TCAGCCAACAGCATGATGCTTAACTAATGGCACCTCACCTTTAAATACAGTGAAGAAGAGAACAATTGCAAGAATGTAAGTGAGAACGCCAATAACGATGCCGATCACATTGAAGATCAATGCTCTTCGCGACTGTTTCTTGGCAGTATCCACATCTCCAAGTTGCCAAGCATAGCTGGATTTTTCTGGAAGAAGAAATAAAAAAAACTCTAGAAAAGTATGTATAAAGATATAAGTAATTTGAGAATGTTGTTTCATTTGACTTGTCACTTTCATGGACGTATAATTATTAAGAGTTAAAACATACAAATGTTGATCTGTTACTTCTTTTTTAATAAACTCAGCAGCCGATAGATTATTAAATTAATAGAAAATAATGAAATACGGTTGGTTATTTTATCAACTAACCATATTTTGTTTTAATCAATTTTTTCAAGGAGAGCTGCTGGGAGTGAAAAAGAATGAAAAAGATTTTAGAAGAAAACAGAAACCCAATCCTAAACAGGAAACAAGGGATAAACCTTTACTCCTGTTCAAAAAACCAGGGAAGGAGTGTGAACTGGATGATAGACAAACCTATCTAGTCCTATTAATCATTGAGATCAGGAGTAGGAAATCTTTTGGGGAAGATGTCCAGATTTTTTTATGTTTGAAACTAAATTAACAATCTTTTTCTTTATTTATCATAAATTATCTTAACTTATATGTTCCATTATGCATAAATATGCATTCTAATGCAATTCTTTTAGTGGTAGTGTTTAATTGATTCGTTTTCTACAACTCATCAACTATTGCAAGGTTATTTAAAGCCAGAAAATATTTTTAGATACTACTACTAACTGTTGGGCAGAAGAATTTTAGCACAGAATATTTTTCATCTGGCTAGTATTTGTCAAGGTTTTTTTTTTTTGATAATTTTTAATCTTCCCTCTTTACATGTCATTGGATTCAAGGTTAAACAATACGGAGAAGCTGTCCAAGTGGAACTCCCTTTTTACCAATCAAATACGAAGGAAGGATGATTTGATCATATGTACATGACATGGGTGTGAGTCCCTTGTAAAGGTCTGAACAGATGGAACTAAGTAATATAATTTGTCTGAAAACTTGCCAAGGAAAAGAGTGATGAAGTAGTGAGAGGCATGCAATATTTCATTCATGAGAAAGGGACTGTAGGATAGAAAAAATTCATTGCCTACAAGGACAGAAACATTTTGAAATGTGTTAAGGCTTGAAAATGAGGACTCTGCAGCTCCAGTTCAGATAGGGCAGCAATTCTCCCTTTTGGTCTGATTGGACTCTTGTAGTGATAGAGCATGTCAGGAGGAGTCTGGTACTTTCTGGAACAGCCCAAGGCATCTTTAGCAATGGATCGTGTACATGAGGTCTACTTGAGATCTGGAGCGAACTTGAGTTCCAATAAGCAACTAAGGCAGGGGCCTCATTGTGGGGTGCAATTGTTCATAATGGCTGAAGAAAACTCAGGGTTTGTTCAGTGATTATGAAGCTATTCAATGTTTTTCATCTTGAAGGCAGGGATCAGCTGCTAGGTACTGATAATTTAGATTTTTGGACATGTATCTTTAAAGTATGCATAGATATTTAGTACTGATCTGAGAAAATTCTTGAACAGAAAGAGATTAGGACTGAGGAGAGAGTCTTGTGGGAAGCCTGCATTTCTTTTGGGGGAGACTAAACATTAATGATGACTTTCATGAATCTAGCTAAAAGGAAGGACTAGATAATTGTAAAGATCCTTTCAGTGATGCAACAGCTGGAGAGTTTGGGTAGAAAGCCTTATCTCACACTTTGTCAAAGGCTTTCAAGATATCCAAGGCAATCACACTTGCAATGAGTTTATTAGCTTGCTGGGTCAGATTTGGGGAAGTGAGTTGGTCTGAAAATTTTTCAACAGCCCCACATATGCATGTTAATTTGTATTTTAAATAACAGCCCAGAAGGAGTATAAAATAGGCATGATGGGTGGAATGGTGATCTACTGGGAACTGTTCAACCCACTGGGATTGACCCATACAGGCAAATCAAAAGCTGTTTTTTTTTGTTTTTTTTTTTTACTAATTATTTCCCTCTAAGCAAGAAGATAAAGCTACTAAGATGCAAAGGGTTACTGAGAGTAAAAAAAAAAATACCAAGAAAAGATTATTGAGGAGATAAGACAATAGAAGAACAGAATTCAAGAAGACAGTGATGTTTCATTTAAATTTTATAGATCGTAGGTGACAGTGAAGTAAGAAAGCGGAAGAGAATCCTACAGGTGAGAAGTGCAAGAAAAGAACCTATTAGAATAGAACTTGCGGTTGCATCTAACAATTTCAACAATGAAATGATGAGACCTACCTGCCAATCTAGTACTATGTTCAAATTCATGAAATCAAGATTGATTAATTGACTGATTTTTTTTTATGGCTTATCAACCTTTTGTGGATTATTTAAAGCTGAAACATTAATTTTTAAAATGTAAGAGTAATTATTATTTTTTGCCGCAGAGTATTGCATTAACAATGTTTTTGGAGATAATGATTTTTCCAGAAACAAGTTTTAAATCATAGCTGGGGAGTAGAGATTCCTGCCTTTCTCAAGGGCATTTACGTGTAAGTGAATGTAATAAGCCAGATTGGATACCAAAGAGGAAGCTCATTAGAACAATTGGCATGGAAATATTATAGAAAACGCACAGGGAAATTACATTAAAGTGGTAAGAAAGTGATAGAATATGCCAGGTCAGGACCGATAACATTGCAGATTATTATTTGGATTATGTCAAGAATCTCTAGATACATAGCCGAAGCACCAGACCAGATGCGACAGCAATATTCAGTGCACGGAAAAATGATGGACTTATAAAGGTGCAAGATTGATTCTGGTAAGAAAATTATATAGCAAGATACAGTGAACCAATTTTCCTCATAGCAGACAATTCACTGGAAAAAAAATAGAAACAGTCGTATGGAAATTCAAACAAATCACCCCATCATAGTCATGGAATCGGATTTAGTTATTGTACATAAAGTAAAGATGATCTGTTGACAGTTGTGCTTATCGTTATTAGAACGCTTGGAATGAACTTGAAGCCATTTGACTAAAAGAATTATCAATCTGATGAAAAAAAAAAATTAAACTCGATAAGAATACAGAGACAAGTGCTGAAATATTATCTTGTGTTATCTAATTCAGAGCAACCAGATAATACTTAGTGTGAAAAGTCATTGAAAACAACAGAATATGAAATTAAAAATCCATTTGCAATTTACTTACGTCCAAAGTAAAAACCGAGAAATCCGAAAATAAAATTAGCGCCAAGAATAACAAAACAGGAGAAAATAACAAAATCTTTGGGTTTTTTGGGTTTTTGTTTTTTATCTTTCATGACAACGTTAGCTGATGATGTGTCAACGTCTGGTTGGTTAGCATTTTTCTTGTAATACGCATAATCCTGGTCGCTAATATTTTGAGAAACACTGGGAACGTTTGCATGGATTTCTTCATGGCTTATAATTGGTGCCGGTTTAGAGGAATTGTCACTTTGTTTATCCATCAGGACTTTTGAATCTGAAAAGAGAAATATAAACGATGGGTTAATGTTCCTTCCTTTACTTCCAATTAGTATGCACCGCCATTTGCCTGACTTGGCCACGTGACCCTTAACATCAGATAAGTGGAAATTAAACTGTACCGAAAACATTTGTAGGCATAGAGAATGTGAAGAGAAGATGCTTTCGTGACACGTGTAACATCAACTAGCTTTCCTATTTAGGGTTGGAAAGAATGTATGTAACATATTTCTACACTTCTTTCGACTTCTCCCTGTCATTATATATATATATATATATATATATATATATATATATATATATATATATATATATATATATATATATATGTGTGTGTGTATAAAATGTTTACGTAAATATCTGTACCTACTGCACACACTAAAAAAGAAAAAAGCAGTTCGCAGGACTAAAGTTAGTTGTCAACATTTTCCAGTTTCACTTAATTTACATGTTCGAAATACCAAATATGACAATTTTTTACGTTTTATCATTTTTCTTCTCTTATTTTTTTCAAGTTACACATCACAAAAAAATCCGTTGTAAATATTGTGTTCAACTATTAGGAAGCAAACAATTTTCCCTGCTTAATTTGTTATAATATTACTATGAAAAATAAACGAGAAAAACTTTAGTTTTTAACTGTGTGTTGGTCTGTCATCAAAACGTTAATGATACTTGACAAATCATGAAATGTTTTTTTCGTCTGATTATCAACGTAAATTATAATTACGAAATAATAAACCTGTTAAAATAATCACTAAATAGCCTGTAGACTTTGACAAAACTCAGAAAGGAAGCTGATAGAACGATTGACGATAGTTGTAACTGGAGTGAGCTATATGGTAGAAAGATTTATTCTCCCATTTGTATTTCCCTTGTGATGGGCATTATAATATCCATGATATAATAACACTATCTTGAAGGACGGAACAGAATGGTTGAAAAGGAATGACAAATATACTTTGTTCTCGGAGAGACTTTTATACTACTAAGACATACACAAAACAATATATATATATATATATATATATATATGCACACGTGTCCCACGTGGAAAAGAATATATCATATTGTAACAATACGATTTCTCACACATCCTTAAGAGATAAGTAGATAAATTCCTTTTCCTTTTGTCAACTTGATTACCAGGGTTTCCTAGGAATTTCGTCTCTAGTCCATCTTTGAGTCAATTAATTGCCAGAGTTTCTAGGATTCCTGTCTCTAGCCCGCCTTTGAATTAGCAAACATAAAATTTTGTTAATAATTTTAGATAATCATAAAAGTAGAGTCTTATGAAAAAAACTGACCACCCACCCAGCTTTCGGAACACAAGTAGTCGGATAAGGAGGTGGGACCCCGGCCAAGTGTCCACAGAGAGGCAGGAAGTCAGTAGTGAGCAAGTGACCAGCAGTGCGTAAGTGACCGGCCGTCAGTGAGAGAATGACCGGCAGTGAGTTAGAAGTCACCGAAACCGCAGTCAGTGAATGTAAGGATCCTCTTTCCATGGCCAAAAGTTCGGGAGATAGTAGTTCGCCATCGAAGCCGAAGGAAAACACTAGCAGTTTAGTGAGAATTCGCATTGTTGCTATTTCCCAACTAGACAGTCTTGAAAAGTATTTGTCGTTATTCTTTGTTGAATTCGATCACGACCAAGGAGACTAACCTGTGAACATAGGGATTCAAGTGTATATGCAGACACAGTCGACCTTGGATGTCATCACAATATATATCTACACAGCAAAGCAGAGTACACAAAGAAACAAAAAGGAAGAGTTTTGCAAATAATATGGAGATGCACCTGTGTCTGGAGAAGCCATGTTTAGGACTCCAGATTCAAACAGGCCGGATTCATCTATGTCTCAGGGGAGGACATATTCCACGAACGGGAAACAGCGAGTCTTGGTTTTTCCCAAATTGAGGACTTCGAGCTGGAGGTTTTTTTTTTCTATATCTGGGAAAAATATATTCCCAAAGGGAAACGAATCTTTGCCCGGGCCATTGGGACTAAAGAAAGCAACTACACGGTTTGGCTATTGTAAAAAAGATGAAAGTGACTGCCGTTCGTGCCACTGTATGGAGTGATGCCACTAAGCGGTTATCTCCATAAAAGATAGATAATCGCCTTCTGTATCCCTACATAGTTTTATTACCATAAAATATTATTCGTGCTTAAAACTCGCTATTCTGATGATGAATTTAGAAAGAATTTAGTCACAGTTGTTGCAGCTTTAAATCTAAACAATACAACTAAATCGGCTAAAAGCATAAAATTAGATTACACTGCAGAATGCCGTGTCACCTGAATTAATGCTGATATTTGCAGGCACAATACAAACGGATTTAAAAGAAGTCATCTACATTCAGTCGAACTCTTCTTAACGAATCTCAGTGATAACATGGAACTCTAGTTTGTATTTGTTCTTTTAGGTTTGTGAATGGTTGAGGGGTGGGGGTGAAGATTGCCCTTGTAAAAATAATTAACTTGTCCACAAAGAAAAAGAAAAGGAAAAGAAAGCAGATAAAGTGTAAATCCAAATCTTTATTGTCATATTCACGACGTTTCGGTCGTTGTACGCTCCGGTCTTCTTCAGGTATCATACGTTGGAATTTCGAACCGTACCCTTTATTTTGCCTACATGAGTAGATTTTTCTAATTTCATGTGTCATGCCATTTTTTTGATCTCGGCTTCAGTTAATAACTTTAATAACTCAATTCTCCAAGATTTTGTTCCCTCTGTTGTGGCCAGGTATTGAACTCACAACTCTATGGGTCATGTCACTTTTTGGATTACTTCAACTAACACTTTCATCGATTGGGCCCCAAAAGTTTCTCTTTGTGATATTTACTTGGAAGTGTTGGCTTGATTACTTTGATGCCTTTAGTCAATCTTAATATTTTAAAGTGTCCTCTTTTTAATTTTACAACTCTGTGTGAATCACCTGAAAAAGGTCGGAGCGTATAATGGCCGAAGCATCGCGAATATGACAATAAAGATGAGGACAACAGTTCAAACAATGTAAATAGTTACAATACTACCTCATCTCAGAAATACAGGCAGGTGTAAATGCAAAGATTTTATACTTCAGCAATCGTTAGAGTTTTTGCAAAAGTTGTTTCTCCTCTTTAATTTTTTTGTCCCGTTTATTCTTCTGAAAACAGTTTTCGTACGACAGGAAATAGACAAGAGACAGGAAGATTTTTTAATGAAATCTTTTCGGACTATTACAACTGGCTGCCTACACAAACTATCACGCGAACTTTCGATGACTCACCACTTGATACATTATCCTTTATTTATATCCAGCACAAAGACTAAATACTAGACACAAAAGCGCGCCAATATTTAAGAGAAAACTGCCCGGCTCAGTTTTAATGTGTGTTAGTTGAAAAGTACAAAATCTGTAATAACTATAAATGCTTAAAAGATGAAATGTTACATATTAATAATTTGGTACGTTTTAAATACTGTGCAATTTCTATCTTTCTCCATAAATTAAATTTTAAGTCGGTATCCACTCAGTATGGATTTCACATCTTAATTTTCAATAAAAGGGTGATTTTATTTTTGCCTGCAATTCATTAATTAACAGAATATGTTCTAATAATGTCTGCTATTATTTGAATCTGTTTAATTTTCTCTGTTTTCCAAATCTTAATTTACAGATTTACAAGCTTTTCTTAACACGACAGGTTTTCTTCTGACGCAACTGTGAAAGCAAAAAAAGTATAATAGCTCTGTGTTTGTTAGAGATTAAGGATTTGATTGTATCACCTTCTCAACTGATTAATAGGATTGTAGAAAGTACTAAACAAGCTGTTAAAAATGCTACGAAGAAATCGAGAGATAGCAAGACATACCCGGACATGACATTGTTGTAATTACGAACAGAGTATGCATCGGCCACAAATTACCAAGTCACGCAGTTATGCACCGAAATGATCAAAGAGAAAAACTGTTTAAGGAAGAGAAAAAAAATCTATGAAAGATGACGTGTGCACCAAGAATAATAGCAAAGGTTATAAGATTAAGGTACAGGAGAAAAACTAAGTCTCTATCGAAGTTAGAATGTGATAATACTGGACCATTAGTCATGTACTTGGGGGTAAAAACTGTTGTAACAGAAGAGAATGCCTAGCATAGATCTGAAATATTATTGCTTGAAATGCTAACACAATAAGAAGTAATCGGTGCCATTCGCATGAAGTCCCTTTTATAACACGACATGAGATAGACAGATATACTAAAGGCACCACATAAAAAGGATCCAACAAGAGACCGCTGAGAAAAGAACATGGAAGTGTGGAAACACCATTGAGTTATACAAACGTTTATAATAGTCAAAACTGCTGAGGACTAGTAGATTCAGTGAGGTGCTAGCAACTGGTCACCTCATTGGGGTGAAGACGATAAGGATTTTCCACATCTTTCTCTCCTTTTGTAGCTCTTAGTAAGGTTTGTTTTTATGTTATCTCTCCTAATCCTTGTTCTGCCAACCGTTTACACAAACTCGTTAGGTAGGTTATACGTTGCTTTCCTCCTCCCCCTCCTCTCTTGCTTTCCATATATAAACAGGTTATAAATAAATAGGACGTCATAGTGACATCATTGACAATTACATTACCCGGCGCCTGAGAGAAAAGGGAAAGTGCCGCTTGAGCAATTTTTGTATGACTTTGCCGATAGTGTACATTAAAACTTCGACCATGCATCGCATTCTTTTGCGACATGGGCGCGCGGATAAATATTGACAGTATATAAACGCTGATATTCTGATCCAATGATATACAAACATTATTGTAAGACATTTCATTGTGTGACTTTCTTCTGATAATGTTATTTGTTTCTTGAAAAAACTATATAATATTATTGTCTAACTGTTGTTTATTGCTCAATGTGTCATCTGGTGGCTGAGTGAAATATTATTGTTCACTTCCATTCAGAAGCATTCTGGGTTCAATCCTTATATCTGCCGATAGAATTTTTAGACGTGTTAATA